GCCATTCAGTCCTCTCTTCGAGCCTGTCCAACAGGAACAGGAGGAGGCCATTCACCCTCCTTTATGGGGCTGTCACACAGGAACAGTCTCCGTTTCCATGTTCCCCAAGTTGCTGTCTGTCCAGGGGAGGGTGAGGGGTGGGTGGTGGAGTTCCCAGTTGGGTCTGGGGAGGTGACGGGAGGTCGCTCGGGCCACGAGGAAGGGTCTAGGAGGATGTTTTTTGTGTTTGCAGGTGAGCGGCTCCCTAAACCCGATAAAGGCAAGATGCGTTTCCACAAGATCGCCAACGTCAACAAAGCCCTGGACTACATCGCCAGTAAGGGGGTCAAACTGGTCTCCATTGGGGCAGAAGGTAGGTGTCTGTACCCTCTCCCTCAAACCTCATGCACACCCTTGTCCTTCGCCTGCATGCTAGCCGCTATTCCACTGCCAGAGCCATCACCAATGTTTCATTCCGCTGTCATCCCATCCCTTCCCAAACCAGGACTCCCCTCCCCTTTTGGACTTGGGTACTGAAGCCAACTGAGGCTTTACAAGGCTGTACCTGATCCTTCCTTCTGACCCCCTCCACCCCGATTTCCCCCGGCCACACCTCATCCCCGCTGACCCTCCATCCTCACTCACTCCTCCCTCCACTCCACCCCACTTGCTCTACAGAACACCGCCCCCCCACCACCACCATAACCCCTTCTCCCTGAGGTCCTCCCACCTGTCGGTAACGTTGCCTCTTCTTGTGCAGAAATTGTGGATGGGAATTTGAAGATGACGCTTGGGATGATCTGGACCATCATCCTCCGTTTCGCCATCCAGGACATTTCAGTGGAAGGTGAGGGCAATGGCCATTCTGCGATAGAATCGTGAGCAGTGATTAGTCAGACTTGCTGAGGGGATGGGTGGGGAGGCAAAATAAATTTGAGGGCAGTGATTGGATGAAATTCAAGATCAAAACTTGGAGATGATCAAGGGCAACACTGATTGGGTGATATCCTGGGGGAGGGCATTTAGGGTTAGGGTTTGAGATGGGTCAGAGGTTAGAATTAGGGTTAGGGTCAGGGTTAGGGTGAGGGTCAGGGAAGAGTTGGAGGTTAGGATTTGGGGTAGGGTTAGGGTCAAGTTAAAGGTTAGGGTCAGGGTTTGGGTTAGGGTTAGGGTCAGGATTAAAGGTTAGGGCTAGGGTTAGGGTCAGGGCTAGGGTAGAGGTTAG